ATACTGAGTATTAGACAAAATCAGGTATTTTTCCTTAATTCCTTATAATATGGTCAGTAATTAAGTTATCAAATCAGCTTGAAATAATCAAAACACTTTCCTTCAATATGCAATATTAGGATTAACAATATACCACCTGAAAGCCAATTTCTTAAAGGTTATGAAAAAAAATTAACATTGTTTCATTTCATTTCAACAGACCATTAGGAAGGGAAGAGAAAGGTGGGGAAAATATTAGAGTAGAAAAGGATGAGATTCCTGCAACTCTCTTTTCAACACCTCAGGAGGAGTAAACAGTATATTTCCTCCTTCTCTTCTTTTGTAAAAGGGCGGAAGACCCCGTTCTTCACATTTTTGTGGAGATGCCCAATCCCTGCGTGGTAAATAATTTTCGGTATTAAATGCACTCTAAGTAAGAACATCCGTTGTTGAGGTTTTAGGGGAGCTTTGGTTAATTGGGTGATACCTACCTGGAGGATCTCCAGAGTCATTCCAATTAATATTCCAGTAGGTCTTACCGTAGCCCCAAGGTATCTTATTTGGGCTTCAGACTTTAAAGGTGGTATAATCTCATTATTGATAGTAAAGTCTGTAGAGGTGATAATTGATTTCTTAATAATCGTGGTCTTGGAGATTGTGGCTGATTTTGATGTATTAAAAATCAAGCCAGCGTAACTAGCCTCTCTCTCCAATTCCTTTCATGTGGCCTGAAGTCCAGCAACCGAAGATGACATAACGCATAGATCATCCGCAAAAGCCATGATGTTAAAGTTTGTGTTCTGCAGATTTAGACCTATTTGTGTGGGTATAGTTGTTATACTTTCATCAATAACTGCATTAAATAGTATAGGGGAGAGGGGGTCGCCTTGTTTCACACCTCTGGTCATGTTTATTGTTACATCAGGCTGAATGATTATTGTGGTGGTACAATCTTCATAGGCATTTCGAAGGTATTGAATAAAATGATTAGGTGCCCCTTGTCGTGTAACTGCACGCATGATGGAATCGTGAACAGAATCAAATGCCTTTTGGATGTCAAGAAAGGCGATGTAAGCAAACTTCTTCTGTTTCAGAAAGTGCCTCAGTAGGAAGGTGTCCAGGTGGAATTCCAGGTGGAATTCATTTAGGCGCGGGTAAACGGCGGGAGTAACTATGACTCTCTTGAGGGTGGTTTGACCTATCGGGTGAGACTGCAAGCAATTGCTATCTCCCCAATAGGAGAACGGGAGGGGCAATGCTACCTCACGTGGGTTTAAGGCATGCCAGCCCAGCATTCCACCTTCTCGTGGTGAGAGTCGTTAGTACTCTTGGGATTTCTGCTTGAAATCCCTGGAGGAAGCTAACGGCCCAGGGCGACAACTTCCCCAGAGCCTTTTATTAGGAAGACCACCTACACGCCTCAAAGCGGCGGGGAGGCTCACCTCGGTGAGAAGATGTAGGCGTCGCCCTTGCAGGATCTCCTGCAAGGTTCCCTTATCCAAGAAATGGCACGTCATAAAAAGAAGCAGTCCGTGTCAGGTGAGCTCCACAGAGCAACCCTCGCGGATAAATTGGATGGAGCAACAGGCGCAAGACAGTGCAGTTCCCGTTCTTCCTCCGGTGCCACTGGTGTATCCACCATTCCTTGTCTCTTTGTGTGTCCTTCTTGCAATAAAGAATGTAAAACGAAGTCCGCTCTTCTAAGTCACTTACGTTTTAAACATCCACCTAATGTCTCACCTTCTGTTCCTGAACATCAGTCACCATCTCAAATCCTGCAGGAAGTGTTCTCATATCCATGTACAGAATGTGAAAGATCTTTTCCTACAAAGATAGGACACAGTTTACACCTTAAAGCAAGACATCCAAACAAGTACTATTCAGAACAGGTAACAACTCAGAAGAAAAGTCGTTGGGATGAAGAAGAAGACCTTCTCTTAGCGAATGCTGAATTACAGGCACTAAAGACAAACATCAAAAATATAAATCAACATATACTTGCCACCAACATCTTACCTGGGAGAACACTTGAATCGATTAAGGGCAGGAGAAAGCAAACCAAATACCTTGATCTCCTATCTACCCTTCAACAAGAAATCTTCATCGGCAATAACACAGAACATAAACAAGAAGAAGAAACAATTCAAGAACCAGAACATGAAACCCTTAACTGGAAGATAAACATTCTTAAACATCTTAAACAAATACCATCAGGGGAAGGAGCAAAAGAAACTGAACTTGATCAGATTATAGATGTACTTAACATCTCTACACTTGACAATAACACCATCATGGACTTGCTAGACAAACAAGCTGAAGCAAAACCACCACCAAAACAATTCATTGCAAAGAAATCTACGTCGGATTGTAATTCCGCTCCAAAAATTACATCTAATAGAGTTAAACGTAGAGAACAATACAAATACATACAAAACCTTTACCAAAAAGACCGGACGAGATGTGCGCAAACCTGCTATGCAGGCCTTTGGTACAACATACAAACTCCAACATCTATACCTCCAGATACTCTTCTGAACTTCTGGAAGCAGATATTCGAAGCTCCGGAAGAGGTAGATACCAGGGCTCCACCTGAAACCCCGGAAAATCTAACATTTTTGGAACCAATAACCATTAAAGAACTTACGAAACACCTAAAAGTCACTAAAACATCGGCACCAGGTCCTGATGGAATGACCATTAAACAACTTAAACAAATGTCCAAAACCCATCTCCTCAAACTTTACAATCTTTGGTTGTTAGTGGGATATTTACCTAAGACATTCAAAAAACATAAAACAACATTAATCCCCAAAATAGAAACACCAACACAACCAGGAGACTTTAGACCCATAACTATCTCGTCAGTTCTAGTCAGGTTGTTTCATAAGATCTTGGCAGCCAGATGTACAGAACTTTTCCAACTTAATCCACTACAAAGAGCCTTTATACCTGCTAGTGGATGTGAAGAAAATGTTTTCCTCCTTGAACACTTTCTTAAACGAGATAAATCTACATTCATTGCCTTTCTCGATATACAAAAAGCATTTGACTCGGTTCATCATAACACCATTATGCGAGCCGCTTGTCGCCAAGGAGCACCTGAACACTTCATTAAATATCTTACAAATGCTTATCAAGGTTGTAACACCACATTAAACATAATACCTGACTCACAGATTAAAATGACCAGAGGGGTTAAACAGGGAGACCCACTATCACCCATATTATTCAATGCAGTTATGGATGAAGTAATCAAATCCATCCCCTCCAAGCTTGGGTTAAAAATTGACGACGAACATTTTAACATAATGGCATTTGCAGACGATCTCTGCGTCATGACATCATCAGTTGCAGGGCTCCAGGCAGCTTTGAACTGCCTTGAAAAAGAAGCTGCATATGCAGGATTAAAATTTAATCCTTCAAAATCAGTTACCATCTCCAAAGTTAAAATTAACAAAAAGATCATTATTACATCCAAGGAGTTTACCATAAACAATGACATTATTCCACCCATGAAACCAGAGGACCAAGTTCGATACCTGGGTGCAATGGTCTCACCCACAGGGAAATTAACAGGTAAAACCTTTGAGATCCTTAAAAATGGTATTGAAAATCTAACGAGAGCTCCACTAAAACCCCAACAAAGAATGTTTATCTTAAGGGTTCATTTAATCCCAAAAATAATCTATCACGCTGGGATTGGAAAAATGCATAAGAACACCTTATTGAGGATAGATAAACTTATAAGGGAGGTTATACGACAGTGGCTAAAACTCCCAAAAGACACTCCCAAGGCATACTTCCACACAAGAGCTATGGAAGGAGGCCTGCAAATCTGGCAACTGGAAAAGTGGATCCCCCTATTAAAAGAAAGGCAAAAACAAAGATTAATCAAATCCAACCATCCGATTATATCTAAGTTAATGACCACTTCCTCCAATAACACATTTAAAGATGTTAAACTACCAGAGGTAGGGGGAAAGACATGTGAAACTCTTGATGATATCTACATAAACACTGCACAAGACCTATATAGAATGTTGGACGGTAGAGGACTTCGATTCTCTAAAGAAGTTCCATATAACCACAGTTGGAAGACCGACGGGAACAAACTGCAGAGTGGTACCTCCTTCATTAACAGTGTAAAAGTTCATGGAAATTTACTACCAACACAGGCAAGAGCATCCCGCGGGCGCAACGAAACACCAATGTGCGATGCGGGTTGTAACAGTAGAGCATCGTTAAGCCATATAGCTCAAGCCTGTTGCAGAACACATAATAGTCGAATAAAACGCCACGATGCCTTAGTCAATTTCATAGAACAACAATTCCATCGACTAGGCTATACAACAATTAAAGAACCAAAAATAATAACATCCGCCGGTCTTAGAAAACCTGACCTAATTGTCAACAGCGGACTACAAACACATGTCCTGGACGCCCAGATTATTAACGACTATGACGACCCGGAAACATTACATCAAAAGAAAAAGCAATATTACGATAATGAAGACATCACAAACTGGGTCAAGATTAAAACCAACAATCCCTCAGTTTCATTTTCTACCATCACGTTTAACTGGAGAGGATGCATGTCCAATTCATCATACAACGACTTAAGAGCGCTTGGCTTGACCAAAAGAGATCTTGTAATTGCAACTGTAAGAATACTTGAGATGACCCACGCCTGTTGGCGAATCTACACACAGAGCACCTTGAAAAAACGGGGACGCACTCAATGAAGTCCTAATACGACAGATGTTCCTGTGCCTAATGCCCCTTACTGTGATATCACTGTGATAAATACAGTACAGAGTGAGTTAAGCTTCTCAGCACCCACCATTGGCCTGCATCCATCAGGTCAGTGACAGGGTGCAAAAAGCAAACACTTAAAAAAAAAAAGGACGCCTCTACGAGGCGAGAGTTGGAAACTGTGATACACATCCACTGTATCCCAGGCTAAGATCCCCTCCGTTGCACCCATCTCCGAGGTCGAAGACTTCCGAGAGGAATATCGTGGTGTCTTAAGGGCCAGAGACTAAAACGGCTGGAGTTATTTTCCGATGTGGGGGGGTGAAGGAGACCTCTGCCTTACTCCGCCTTAGGGTGGGTACGTGGACACTCCCTCGTGAGTCGGAAGGCTCCTGTCCCTTCAATCTCGGCAATCCCTTTCCCCTTCCCGCTTCCGGGCGGGTGACGCGAATACATAGCCTCTCCCCGTCAAGTCTAGTGCGCGGGCGACATCATTTGCACTTAGGCGCCCCAAACACTCCAATGGGTTAGCACCCCAAGGAATGTACATACCTCCTGCTCCAAAAAGTACAAAACAGCCTCGGATGGCAACTTACAAACCCTCAAGTCATGTCGACATGGGTTTGGATCAGGTCCCCAGTACTTCCAAAACCATTGGTCCTGAGCGTATCCTATTCTCATATGGGTCTGCATCCCATGTCTGTAACATCGGTTCTAGTCTCCCTCGACCATCTATCCTTTAAAAAGGATATGAAAAGTCATGGGAAAAATTTCTCATATTGCTGCTCCATATGCAAACGGGAATTTCCCTCTATATTTGGTGTATCGTCCCTCCACCTTCCCCCGGCAACAAGCGACCAACTCAGAACTGGCACGGACCAGAGGAATCCGACTGTCTAATTAAAACAAAGCATTGCGCGTCCCCCTGCGGGCTTCGACGCGATGTGATTTATGCCCAGTGCTCTGGAGGTCAAAGTGAAGGAATTCATTTAAGCGCGGGTAAACGGCGGGAGTAACTATGACTCTCTTGAGGAGACGCCTCCACGTGGCGAGAGTTGGTAACTGCTGTACACATCCACTGTACCGCAGGCTAAGATCTCCTCCGTTGCACCCCTTCTTGAGGTTCTCTTGCAGAGGACCTTTTGAGGGGAAATATCGTGGTGCTACAAGGGTCCAAGATTGGAACGGCTGGGGTGGTTTTCCGGTGTGGGGGGGCGAAGGAATTCTCTGCCTTATTCCGCTTTAGGATGGGCACGCGGACGTCTCGTCGTGAGTCGGAATGCCCCTGACCCTCTATTCTTGGTTCTCCCTTTCTCCTCTCCCGTTTTTTGGCTAGGTAATGCGAATATAGAGCCTCTTCCTCGCAAGTCTTGTGCACGGGAGCGACCTTACTGCACTCGGCGACCCAGCTCCCTCGGGCTAGCACCCCGTTGGGGTTTCATTTCCTGCTCCTAATACAGAACCACTGCCTCGGATGCACATAGTTGGACCCTTATGTCAAGTTGACGGGGGTCCTGGACAGGATCCACAGCTTCGCACCATTCAACCTATAACAGGTTACCCCTTCTCCTATGGGAGTTCTTCCCATTCATGCCCTACATGTGACAAATCCTTTTTTGATCATATTAGCTATAAGAAGCATGTCTCTTCTCATGGTGGCACATGCACTTACATCTGCTCGAAATGTCACCAGACCTTCTTTTCTATTTTTAGTGTTTCTGGTCACTTTAGGAATTGCAAGATCAATCCTGCGGTAAATGTTCCACCACCCTTACCCTTTAAATGTAATCATTGTGACAGGTCCTTCTCCACTCCCAACGGACTTGCTCTCCATAGGAAACGCGCACATCCAGTTCAATTTAATTCAGAGATTTCCACCACGCGCGTGAAAGCAAGGTGGTCCGATGAAGAAACGCGTCTTCTTGCCCTCTCAGAAATAGGTCTCTCTTCCTCTACTTGCAACATCAACGAAGTCCTGCGAAATCGTTTTCCCGGCCGGACTCTCGAGGCTATTAAAGGTAAAAGGAAACAGAGACACTATACAGACCTACTTAATCAACTCCTACATGGAGCCTCTGATTCCTCGGTACCTGCCGAAACAACGACAGCTTTAGAGGAAGTAGTTCCCATTCACGAGTCACATCCCTCTGAAAATGTCGCTGCCACTGCTAATGTCACAGCGGCCCCCGTGTCTCCTCTCCCTAATCTCACGCTCTTTCCTGATCACCTCCTTGCCCTCTCTCAACAGGAGGATGTCCTCCCTGATCTCCAGCAACTCATCCTACAATGTCTTGCCTCTCCCTCCCAAGCCTTGGAGCATCTGGAGACCTTCTTACCCCTAACCTTTCCGTCCACACATCGAAAGGTTAACTGTCCCAAAACGGGACTTATCCATTCTGCTCGCCGCCGTCACCACCGAATTAAAGAATATGCCAAAGTACAAAATATGTACAAAAAAGATCGGACTAAAGCAGCGCATTATATACTTGATGGTGAGAATAGCTCTACTGCCACTCCATCTAAGGAGGACATTAATGCAACATTCGGGGAGCTTTTTTCCTCCTCGTCCCCTCCTGACACAATCTATTGCATCCCCATTAATCCTCCGTGTACCATATTTTATTCTATAACAGTTAAAGAAATCTCCAAAGCTCTTCAAGCTAGTCCTAAATCAGCTCCAGGCCCTGATGGCCTTACGATCTCCGACATCAAGGGCAAAAATAAGATCTATCTAGCAGTTCTCTTCAACATCTGCTTGTGGAGCCGAGACTTACCCAAATCCCTTAAAATCTCTAAAACCATCTTAATCCCTAAATCTGGGTACCTAAACTTGGCCAGTAACTGGAGACCTATCACTATCAGCTCAGTTCTCCTTAGGCTCCTTCACAAGATCTTGGCACTTCGACTCAATCTGGTCACCCATCTCTCCCCTGCCCAGAGAGCCTTCCTTCCGTTGGATGGGACTGGCATTAACACCTCCCTATTAGATGCCATCATCCATCAAGCTAAAAACTCCCGAAAAGAAATTCATATTACCACTCTTGACATTGCTAAAGCTTTTGACTCAGTGTCCCACCATTCCGTTGTGCGGGCCCTTACCCGGTTTGGTTTGGATGCCGACTCCATCCAGTACATCAACTCCAGCTATCAGAACTGTACTACCACCATCTACTGCGGATCTGTAACCATTCCAGGTATCCACGTCCAGAGAGGTGTTAAACAGGGTGACCCCCTATCTCCACTCATCTTTAACATGGTGATTGACGAACTTTTCTCCAAACTTGAACCCTCCATTGGGGGGAAAATTCAAGACCACATTATTCCTGCTTTAGGCTTTGCTGATGATGTGGTCTTGTTTTCTTCCTCTACTATTGGCATGGAAATACATCTCAAAACGGCCACATCCTTTTTTCAAGCTCGGAATCTACAACTCAAACCCAACAAATGTAGATCATTGTCTTTAGTGCCCGAAAAGAAAACAAGATTTAAAGTCCTGGATTCTTCCTTGTTTCACCTGTCTGGCCAAACTATTCCAACAGTGAAAATTAATGAAACATTTAAGTACTTAGGGGTGTCTTTCGGCAGTAATGCCAAAAAACCCCGGACATTTCATCGTTCTCCACCAGTCTTCACAGACTGACAGTTGCCCCCTTAAAACGCAACAAAAAAATTTATATTCTTCGTATATATGCAATCCCCAGACTCCTTCATGCACTAACACTAGGGAGATACTCCATCGGTTGGTTGAAAACAATCGACTGCAAAATCAGAGGTTTCGTAAAATCTACTCTGAGACTTCCATCATCAACATCGAATGCTTCGCTATACGCCTCGATTAAAGACGGTGGCTTCTCTATACCATGCCTGACACAGTCTATTCCAAGGGTAACACTCATGCGCCTTTCTACCATCAATGATCAGGGAGATAGAGATTGTATGGCTTTTGCCACATCTCCCAGATATTTCAGCAATCGTAAGAAATGTCTGAAATTTTTGGGCTCAACAGCCACGAAATATGAACAAAAGAAATTTTGGAGAGACTCCCTCTACTCCTCAGTTAATGGCCGAGGATTAGACCAAGTGCAAGACTCTCCTGGAAATTCTTGGTTTGGTCAGGGAACACGATTTACAAGCGGCAGAGTATTTATTAATCTCTGCCGCTTACGCACCAACTCCCTCATGTGCCGAGAATTCAATACCCGAGGAAGACGTAATGGTCATCGTTTATGCAGAGCTAATTGCCAAAAAGTTGAATCTCTATCTCATATTATGCAAGGTTGCCCTGCAACTCATTGGTTTAGAGTAACTACGCATAACCGTCTCCTGTCAATGGTTGCCGATAAGTTCTCGTCAATTGGCTACAATGTGACAGTAGAGCCACGAATTACCATCAATGGAGAACTTCGGAAACCTGACATAATCTTAACTATAGATCGGGAACTGACAATATGTGATTTAACAGTTGGCTGGGAAACATCGCAGTCCCTAGATGATAGACACATTGCGAAAATGGATTATTATGGGACACAGGCCATGAGAAACCACCTAAAAGAGAAGTGGCCCAACCACAGCATCAATTTCCAAGCAATTGCCCTCAGCTGTCGTGGTGGCATTGCCCCATTGAGTCATACATTTCTGCAGACATGCCATTGGACATCCAGAGATATAAGCCTCTTATGCCTTAGATGCATTGAAAAGTTACTGAATATCTATTGGGGTTTTTTCGCAGCTACATCTCGTATTGGGGAAAGGGCCCTAATTTAGGTGTCTAAAGTGTAAAAGCATCAGTAGAGTCCTCGATCCTCGAAAAAGGAGAATTTTGAAGAAAAAAAAATAGCCAAATGCCTAGTCATCTAATTAGTGACGCGCATGAATGGATTAACGAGATTCCCACTGTCCCTATCTACTGTCTAGCGAAACCACAGCCAAGGGAACGGGCTTGGAAAAATCAGCGGGGAAAGAAGACCCTGTTGAGAGACATTGTCAGGCGGGGAGTTTGACTGGGGCGGTACATCTGTCAAAGGCTAACGCAGGTGTCCTAAGGCCAGCTCAGCGAGGACAGAAACCTCGCGTGGAGCAAAAGGGAAAAAGCTGGCTTGATCTTGATTTAAATATTAAAAATATAAATCAACATATCCTGGCTGCAAACATCTTACCTGGCAGGACACTTGAATCCATCAAGGGCAGAAGAAAGGAAATTAAATACCTCAATCTTCTATTTACCCCGGAACAAGACACATCTACCTTTAGCAACACAGAACATAAAGAAGATGAAATATCACAAGAACCAGAACATGAAACCCTTATTTGGAATATCAACATTCTTAAACATCTTAAACAAATACCATCAGGGGAAGGAGCAAAGAAAGCTGAACCTGACAAGATCATAGATACACTTGATACTTCAACACTCGACAATAACACCATTGGAGACATGCTAGATGAACAAGCCCCGACAAAGATATCATCAAGATTATCCACTACAGTGAAGTTAACACCGGGTAGTAACTTCACCTCAAAAAGAACATCCAACAGAGTTAAACGGAGAGAACAGTACAAATATACTAAAAAACTCTACCAAAAAGACCGGACAAGATGTGCACAAACCTGCTTAGCAGGCACTTCGAACAACATGCAAATTTCAACATCTGTAGCCCCAGACACTCTTCTAACGTTCTGGAAGCAAATATTTGAAGCTCCGGAAGAGGTAGATGTAAGATCCTCACCCGATGTCCCTGAAAACTTAGAATTCCTGGAACCAATAAATATTAAGGAACTTAAGAAACATCTAAAACTCACTAAAACATCGGCACCAGGTCCTGACGGAATGACTACTAAAAAAATTAAACAAATGACTAAAACCCATCTCCTCAAACTTTACAATCTTTGGTTGTTAGTGGGATATTTACCTAAGACACTTAAAACACACAAAGCTACATTAATTCCCAAAAAAGAAACACCAGAACAACCAGGAGATTTCAGACCCATAACTATCTCGTCAGTTCTAGTCAGGCTGTTTGACAAGATCCTAGCAGCCAGATGTGCAGAACATTTCCACCTTAACCCACTACAGAGAGCTTTTATACCTGCAAGTGGATGCAAAGAAAATGTGTTCCTCCTTGAACACTTTCTCAAAGGACATGAATCTACATTCATTGCCTTTTTAGATATCCAGAAAGCCTTTGACTCGGTGCATCATAACACCATCATGCGAGCCGCACGACGTCAAGGGGCACCTGAGCACTTTATCAAATATCTCATAAATGCATATCAAGACTGTAGTACCACACTAAATATAATACCTAACTCACAAATTAGAATGACAAGAGGGGTAAAACAGGGGGACCCCCTGTCACCCATATTATTTAATGCTGTCATGGATGAAGTAATCGCATCCATTCCCTCTAAACTTGGATTAAAAATTGATGACAAGCACTTCAACGTTATGGCGTTTGCAGATGATCTTTGCGTCATGACTTCATCAGCAGCAGGACTTCAAGCAGCTCTGAAATGTCTTGAAGAAGAAGCTGCATATGCAGGATTAAAATTTAATCCTTCTAAATCAGTCACCATCTCCAAAGTTAAAATCAATAAAAAGATCACTATCACATCTAAAGAATTTACCATCAATAATGACATTCCATCTATGAAACCTGAAGACCAAGTTCGATACCTGGGTGCAATGGTCTCGCCCACAGGGAAATTAACGGGTAAAACCTTTGATATCCTAAGAAACGGCATAGAATATCTCACAAAAGCTCCATTAAAACCCCAACAAAGAATGTATATTCTCAGGGTTCATTTAATCCCAAAAAGCATATACCATGCTGGGATTGGAAAAATGCACAAAAATAGATAAACTTGTAAGGGAGCTCGTCTCGACACCAGGAGAGTTACGACCGCGGGCACCTCTCGGAGGGAAATTTCCTGCGAGAGAGGCGATCCCGGAAAAGCGGTCCGCGAACACAAACCGTGTTGTTTCCCTGTGTAACTCTGACTCTCTTGAGGGATCGCCTCTACGGGGCGAGTGTTGGAAACTGCATTGCAAAGTCTCTGTACTGCAGGGTAAGTGTTCCTCTGTGGCACCCTTGTTCCAGGCAACTCCTACAAGATCTGTGGCGCTAAACTGATGCTGTTGCGTGGTTGACAGTGCAGCGTTAATTTCCGATGTGCGGATCACAGGATGCCTCTGCCTCTGTCCCGACTCAGGGGAGGGATGCTGATGGTTCTCGTGAGTTGGAATGACCTGCTTTCTCATCCCCTCCCTGGCATCAAAGCCCCATTAAGGGCAAGTAATGCGAAAATATAGCCTCTCCTTGTCACGTCCTGTGCGGGGGTTTGACCATACGTACATCGGCGCTCCTGCTTACTTGGGCTAGCACACCACCTGAGTGTATCCTCCTGCTCCTAAAAAAAAAATCCTCAGATGGTAAATAACGAGTCCTTAAGTCAAATTTACGGGGACTCCGGAAAGAACTCTCAGGACAAGTGCACCTCCTCTAATGTAGGCTTTAGTTTCCTATATGGGAATGACTCACACCCATGCCCTAAGACCCTGTTTGATCATATCTCCAGTAGACGCATCTAGTCATGGCATATCTATCTGTTATTTTTGTAACCAGTGCCTAAAGAACTTTCCCTCAATCTACAGTGTAGCTGACCATCATAGAATGTGCAAAGAAGGCCCCGCGGCCCTCGTGTCCTCTATCAACTCTTCTGCCAGGAATGTCATTTTCATGTACATCCTGTGATAGAAATATCTCCACCAATACATGCTTAGCCCTTCACCGTAAACGTGCCCACCCTGCTCTCGTCAATGCAGAGATCGACACCTCCAGCATCAAAGCGCGGTGGTCCACGGAAGAAACCAAGCTCCTTGAGCTTGCTGAGCTAGCCCTTGGAGCCACTTTCTGTATTAACGAAAAACTAAGTCAACAATTTCCAGGACGCAGTATTGAAGCCATCAAAGGCAAACGTAAATAAACAACCTATAGGAATCTCCTCCTTAAACTGTTGCTCCCTGATGCCCAAGCGGAAGAGTCTATTCTCCCAACTCAAGTAATTCCGATCTCACCCTTACGCCCTCCGCCACTTACTTCACCCTTCCAGGACTTCCTAGAAAACCTTCTTCAGGATGACTACCCTAAGCATCTCTCTGAAGTCGTGCCATCAAGTCTTGCTTCTCCCTCAGAAGCACTAACCTATATAAATCCTGTTTATGCGCGAAGTCATCTCCCGTATGACCCTCCAACGTCTTATCTCCATGAAAGTTCTTCCATCCCCCGAGTGCATAGTATTCTGACAATCATCAGAGCATCACACCATCAGGAAAAGAGCCATTAAACAACTCGAACTCACATGTACTAAATACTCTCAAATGCCCCATTGGCACTCTACACTTCCGTCAATGGGCGTGGTCTCAAGGAAGTCAAGAACTCTCCAGGCAACGACTGCTTCCAATCAGGAACACGCTTCACCTCCAGGCGAAATTTTATAAACCTCTGTTTATAAAGGACCAACTCCCTCATGTGCCGCAAACTCAATAACAAAGGGAAAAAAACAGAGGGGCTACGCCTATACAGAGCTAACTGCCTGAAGGTGGAATCCCTCTCACACATCCTACAAGGATGCCCCTCAACGCATTGGTTTTGGGTTACCCGACACAACAGACTACTCTCAATGGTGAGCGACAAATTCACATCTTTAGGATACCAGATCATCACCGAACCAAGTATTATGATACATGGCGAGCTCCGAAAACCTGACCTTCTCCTCATCAAGAACAACTCAGTCACAGTCTGCGACCTCACTGTCGGCTGGGAATCTCCAATCACACTTTATGAGAGACACATAGCCAAGGTGGATTACTATGGTATACAGGGTATTAAACAGTACACCACAGACCATTGGCCTGCATACTCGCAACACTTCCAAGCAGTCGCACTTAGCAGCCGTGGTGGTATCTCTTCTCTGAGCTGCACCTTTCTAAAAGATACTGGATGGGACCGAAAGACCTTAGGACTACTATGTCTTTGCTGCATGGAGAAATCTCTCAATATCAACTGGGGATTCTTCGCTTCAAACAATAGATTGGGACGAGTGGAGAATCTAAAACCTCCTTAGAGCGTGATGTAACTTTTCCTTTTGTAGAGTACCTGATCCCCAGTATGGGAGAATTTGAAGATAAAAAAATAGAGCTAAAATAGATAAAAAGCGAGTTCAACTCTCTTGAGGGGCCGCCTCCACGTGGCGAGAGTTGGAAACTATGATGTAAATCCACTACATCGCAGGCTAAGAACTCCTCCGTGACACCTTCTTAGGTTCCCTAAGAAATTTGTGGTGTACTTCTCAAGTGGTAGATGAGGCTAGGGGGAGTTTGACTTCGATGTTGGGGGGGGGGTAGAGTAAGCCTCTGCCCTTCCTGATTTAAGGGGGGTATGCAGACACCCTCTCGTGAGTTGGAATGGCTCTATACTCCTTAAAGGCCCTTGAGAATTCCTTGCTGGTAGGGTAAGCGAATACATTACTCTACAAGTGTAAGGTTTCTTTCAAGAAGCCTTAGGCGAACCGGCATGGTTGGGCTGGCAACCCGGCCAATGCTTCATCTCCTGCCCCTATCAGTAACACCAAGCCTCGGATGACTCTGAAACGACCCTAAGTCAAGATGTTGACGGGGGTCGAGGACAGGATACAAACCCAGCGCCACAAGTCAAGGATATGTCTGCCATCTTCATGTATGGATCAACTACGAACATCTGTTCCAATTGTAATAAAGCTTTTCTTGACCATATAGGTTTCAAGAGAGATTCTGTCTCTCATGGCATTTCCATCACCTATTATTGTTCCAAGTGTCAACAAAAATTCCCCTCCATCCACAGTGTAGCCAGTCACTTTAAGAAATGTCCATCCAAAGGAATAACGCAGGCCCCTATTTCACCAACGGTCGTTGGAACCTCAACATCCCAGTCATGTAATTGTCTCGAATGTAAAAGATCCTTCACCACCAAAACGGGTCTCGGTCTTTATCGGAAACGAACCCACCCAGAGAATTTCAACTCCGAGATTACAACGACCAGAATAAAAGCTAGATGGTCTAATGAAGAGGTGCGATTAATGGCCAACCAAGAGATCCAACTAGGAACAAATCTTCAAATTGAAGGTCAAAGTGGGGGAATTCATTTAAGCGCGGGTAAACGGTGGGAGTAACTATGACTCTCTTGAGGAGACGCCTCCACGTGGCGAGAGTTAGCCTGAGGTGTAAGATTAACACCACAGTTACCAAGAGCTCCTCATCAATCTTCCGAAGTGTGTCTGGATCTGAATAGGGAGGATTTATATCTTCCGATGTGGGGTCAAGTGGATGCCTCTGCCTTTGTTCCGACTTAGGAGGGGGTAGGCTGATTGATCTCGTGAGTTGGAAGTGTCCTTTCCCTCAGCTCCAGGCCGCCTCGGAAAGGGGTAACATCTAGGAAAACAAAACTCCCCCTGACCTTCGGGAAATGGCTTCCTATACGCCCCATTGCGGCGGGGGGGCTCATCTAGGTGAGAAGTATAGGCGCATACTTACAATGTTCACATTGTTTGTCTTATCTTGAAAAATGGCACGCTCAAACATAAATCCGTCCGTGTCAGGCGCGCTCCTCAGAGCAACCCTATCGGATAACGATCATAGGAGCAACAACTCAGACACTTTAAATCCTTCTTCTCTTACCGATACTGCTATAATAGGTTTCGCTTGTTCCTTTTGCGCAAAATCTTGCAAAACAAAATCAGCTCTTATTAGCCATCAACGCTTTAAACATCCTCCTAATCCACCACTTGCTTTAAAAAGTAACACAACAAAAGTAACCCCGGAGGTTGTGACTTTCTCCTGCTCCGAATGTGAAAGGGACTTCCCCACTAAAAGTGGACGAAGCCTTCACATAAAATCCCAGCATAAAAACGTATATTAGGCTTCACTGACTACATCACAAAGTGAAAGGCGTTGGGACGAAGAGGAAGACCTAATCTTAGCACGACTGGAAACACAAGCAAAAAGTAATGGGATTAAAGACATTAACAAGTACATCTTTGATCAGAAATGTCTCCCTGGAAGAACTTTTGACTCTATTAAAAGTCGTAGGAAGCAACCGCGATACTTCAAAGTGCTCTCCTCCCTAAATAGCCCTGTCCAACTGGAAAGAATTGAAGAGATTCCCCCTCTTTCTCCTCCTATAACGGAACCTAATGTACAAGTCAAAAAATGTTGGAAAGACCTAATTATGGAGTTCCTGAAACAACTCCCCGAAGAATCTGCGGAATGGGGGGAATCCCTTCTAGACCACATCATCTTAGACATCGAAAACGGAAATATAATAAATCAACTTGACGCCCAAGCAAAGCTCTTGCTCATGCCCCAAAAAGCCAAAGCCAATAAAAGTAAACCTGAGAACACCAAGGTAATATCCTCAAATAAAAGTAATAGAACAAAACGCCGAGTAAATTACAAATATATACAACAGCTTTACAAAAAAAACAGGACTCAAATGCGCCGAAATGGGCCTAGATGGCTCTTGGGAAAAACCATCCATGTCACCTGAAGTACAAACCGATTCCTTGACTGCCTTTTGGAAAAATGTATTTGAATCACCCAAAGAAGAGGACTCTAGGCCAGTAACTCCCATTAGTGAGAAAGTTGAATTACTTGACCCTATTAAAATAAAAGAACTGAAGGACCATCTGAAAATGACGAAAAATTCTGCCCCAGGACCTGATGGTGTTACTATTAAACATCTGAAAAATCTGCCAAAAAACCTCCTACTAAAACTATATAATCTCTGGTTACTTGCTGGTTACCTTCCCGAAGTTTTTAAACACCATCAGACTTCCTTGATCCCCAAAAAAGATAAGCCAGAGAACCCAATGATTTTCGCCCAATTACCATATCTTCGGTCATCGTTAGGCTTTTTCATAAAATCCTAGTGACGCGCTGCACATCATCACTTCAGCTAAACCCCTCTCAAAGAGCCTTCATCCCAGCCAGCGGCTGCGAAGAAAATATATTTGTATTAGAATATCTACTAAAGAGCAAGAAAACCACCCACATTGCACTTTTAGACATCCAGAAAGCGTTCGACTCTGTCCACCATGCCTCAATCATACGGGCGGCTGTCCGTCAATGGGCTCCTGAACAATTTGTAAAATACCTTAAAAGTGCCTATAACGGCTGTACCACCAAACTTAACTTCCATCCATATCCAACCATAAATATGAGCAGAGGTGTAAAGCAGGGTGACCCTCTTTCACCAATTCTGTTTAACGCTGTCATTGACGAAATAATTACTACATTACCCAGCAAGCTAGGGTTTAAGATCGGAACAGAAAACCTGAACGCCCTAGCCTTCGCTGACGATCTCTGCATCGCAACGTCTTCGGTAGCAGGTTTGCAGACTTGTCTCAACCACACCCAGAAGGAAGCAGCACATTCAGGACTTATTTTTAATCCCAGAAAATCAATAACCATATCTAAAACCATCATTAATAAGAAAGTCCATTTCTCCTCAAATGATTTCACCATCAACAATGAAATAATCCCATCTCTCAAAGCAGAAGACCAAGTTAGGTACTTGGGTGCTCTAGTATCTCCAAGTGGTAAATTAATTGGAAACACAAAGGATATACTGCAACTAGGTCTGAAAAATCTAAGGAAAGCTCCCCTTAAACCGCAACAAAGGTTGCATATCCTGAGAAACCACCTCATCCCCAAAATGACCTACCATGCCGGAATACGATATCCCCACAAAAACACCTTAATCAAAATCGACAGGGATATAAGATCAGCTGTCCGGGAATGGTTACGTCTCCCGAAGGACACACCAATCTCCTTCTTCCACTCTAAAGCAGGTGACGGTGGGTTACAAATCTGCCAGTTCACAAAGTGGATTCCACTCCTGAAATTAAGACAGCAAGAACGTCTGGAAAGCTCCAATCATCCAGCCATCAACCAGCTTAAAAACCACCTACAGGAATTACCACTCAAAGCAGTTAAATACCCAGAAATAAATAACGAGCCCTGTAAAACAAATGAAGATATCTACGAAAAAACAGCTAAAGACCTATATAAAATGCTCGATGGGAGAGGCCTTAAACACGCTAAAGAAGTCCCAACCATCCATTCATGGAAAATAGATGGAAATAAACTCGAGACAGGAGCATCCAACATATCCTCCATCAAAGTCCACGGCAACCTACTTCCAACGCAAGCAAGGGCTGCAAGGGGGCGAAATGAAACACCTATGTGTAACGCAGGGTGTAACGGTCGTGCATCCCTAAGTCACAACGCCCAAGCGTGTTCCAGAAAACACGGGGCACGAATCAGAAGACACGACGCCATAGTAAAGTTAGTAAATGAAAAACTAAAGAATCTAAACTTTACCACCTTAACTGAACCAAAGATTAAAACAGAAGCAGGATTACGTAAGCCAGACATCATCATCATTAACAGCATTGAATCTTGGGTGATCGACGCGCAAGTAGTCAACGACTATGACGATCCTGAAGACCTGCACCACCTTAAGAAACAGTAGTATAATAAACCAGACATCATAAAATGGATTAAAGACAAAACAGGCTGCCCGTCAGTTAAATTCACTACAATAACTTATAATTGGCGGGGTATAATGTCGAAAACATCTGCCAAAGACCTAATGGATCTGGGTATTACAAAGAAAGACTTCAAGATAAGAGCAGTGAGGGTCTTGGAACTGACCCATGCCTGTTGGAGGCAATACCAATGTAGTACGTACAGTATGCAATTAAGGACTACAAAGAAATGAAGGCAATGACCTTGCCAGATGGGGTAGTTGTTGTTCCTAACTGTGATAATTGCACCTACCACAGTACAAATCCTAGAGTTAAGCTTCTCTATCTTTTCTCCTTTTGTTTTGTTATGAACAGTGCAAAAGAAAAGGAAAAAGCAAATATTGAAAAAAAAATAACACCTCCACGTGGCGAGAGTTGGTAACTGTGGTGTGAATCTGTACACCTCAGGCTAAGAGCTCCTCATCAACTTCCGAAGTGTGTCTGGATCTGAGTAGGGAGGATTTATATCTTCCGATGTGGGGTCAAGAGGATGCCTCTGCCTTTGTTCCGACTTAGGGGGGTAGGCTGATTGATCTCGTGAGTTGGAAGTGTCCTTTCCCTCAGCTCTAGGCCGCCTCGGAAATGGCAACATCTAGTAAAACAACTCCCCCTGACCTTCGGGAAATGGCTCTCTATACGCCCCATTGCGGCGTGGGGGCTCACCTAGGTGAGAAGTACAGGCGCCTAATGTTTACATTGTTTTTTTATTTATCTTCGAAAATGGCACGCTCAAACACAAATCCGTCCGTGTCAGGCGCGCTCCTCAGAGCAACCCTTTCGGATAACGTTCATAGGACCAATAACTCAGACACTTTAAATCCTTCTTCTCCTACTGGTACGGTTACAATGGAATTTGTCTGTTCCTTTTGCGCAAAAACATGCAAAACGAAATCAGCTCTTATTAGCCTTCAACACTTTAAACATCCTCCTAATTCACCACTTACTTTAAAAAGTAATACATCCTCGGAGGATGTGATTTTCTCTTGTTCTGAATGCGAAAGGAACTTCCCCACTAAAAGTGGTCGAAGCCTTCACATGAAGTCCCAGCATAAAAATGCATATGCGGGAGAACTATTGACTATCAAAAGTCGCAGAAAAAAACCTCGATACATTGAACTGCTCTCTTCCCTAAATAACCCCGCCCAACCGGAAAAAATTGATGTAGAGGTTCCCCCCCCCCCCTTCCTTCCTCTATAAAGGAAGCAAATGACCAAGTCAAGGAGCGTTGGATAAATCTAATCATTGAGTTCCTGAAACAACTCCCAGTAGGACCTGTGGAATGGGGGGAATCCCTTCTAGACCACATCATTTTAGACATCGACAACAGAAATATAACAAAGCAACTTGAAGCCCAGGCAAAGCTCTTACTCATGCCCCAAAAAAACAAATCCAAGAAGAGAAATCCTGAGAACACCAAGGTAATATCCTCAAATAAAAGTAATAGAATGAAACGCCGAGAAACTTACAAATACGTACAACAGCTTTACCAAAAGAACAGGACCAAATGTGCCCCAATGTGTCTAGATGGCTCTTGGGAAAAACCATCCATGTCACCTGAAGTACAAACCGATTCCTTGACTGCCTTTTGGAAAAATGTATTTGAATCACCCAAAGAAGAGGACTCTAGGCCAGTAACTCCCATTAGTGAGAAAGTTGAATTACTTTACCCTATTAAAATAAAAGAACTGAAGGACCATCTGAAAAAGACGAAAAATTCTGCCCCAGGACCTGATGGTGTTACTGTTAAACATCTGAAAAATCTGCAAAAAAAAAACCCTTGCTAAAACTATATAATCTCTGGTTATTCGCTGGCTACCTTCCTGAAGTTTTCAAACACCATCAGACTTCTTTGATCCCTAAAAAAGACAAGCCAGTGAACCCAAGTGATTTCCGTCCAATTACAATAGCTTCTGTCATCGTTAGGCTTTTTCATAAATTCCTAACGACGCGCTGCACGTCATCATTCCAGCTAAACCCTTCTCAAAGAGCTTTCATTCCAGCCAGCGGCATGCGAAGAAAATATATTTATATTAGAATCTAATACTTTAATTCGAAGAGGTCAAAAGCTGCGGTGGTGGAGGTGGTCGTGGTCGTGACCCCCAACGCGCGGGCCTACGATGCAAGACCATTCTGGGTTATAGGCCAGGCCTACAAGGCTGCGCCTTTCCAAGCCATCATCTAATACTTTGATTTGAAGAGGTCAAAAGCTGCGGTGGTGGATGGTCGTGGCTGTCACCCCCACGTGCGGGCCTACGATGCAATGCCATTGCTGGGTCATAGGCCAGGCCATCCACGGCCTAAAGCGCCAGGCCTACAGGGCTACGCCTTTCCAGGCCGTCTTATCTTTTACGTAATTCGAAGAGCCCGAGAGTAGTAGTGGTGGTGGTAGGAGGTCGTCACCCGAACGCGCGAGGCCTACAAGACTATGTCACTTCAGGCCAAAGGCTAGGCCATTCACCTCTCAAAGCGCCAGATCCTTCATGCTGTTATTCTCGGTCATAGACTTGGCCATCAAACGCTTTTAGCGTCAGGTCCATCGAGCTATATCAATCCCAGCCATAGGCTTCATACTTGGCTGTGTCAATCAAAGGGTGGTAATAACTGAATGCGTGTCACGTTTTCACTGATCGACTGCAAGTTCTCACTGATCGACTGCAAGTTCTCCATCTGAATACATTCTTAGATCAAGTTTTTTTTTTCTGTATTTATTTATTTTTTCCTTTAGATCAGGCGTGGCGGTTCGGGACATCGCTTCCATGCAATAGTTTTCTGCTTGCGTTTCATGTCATGGTCGATTTATTTGAGTTTTCATGATTGATGAAGTCAAAATAATAACGTAAATTCTTTGTTTCATACGTCGCACAAACGGACCGCTCCTCCCATCAAGACGGTCGCGATATTTGCGAGGTGAGGCTGAACGTGAAAAAAAAGTTGAAAGAGGTCCCACAGGACGGCGATGAGGCAGTCGCTGCAGATAATAAACGATTGGTGCTGTCGCGGAAACAACGTTTGCAGTTGCGGTGCGAAGTGCCTAAATCGATGCTAGCCGTAATGGCTAGAATCGGTGATAAACAGCTAGCACATGTACGTAGGGAGCTTAGGGCTGCTCAGACCGCTGAACAGCAAGAGGCAGCGATTGCTGAGCTCCGAAATAGGAGAGCCGTGCAGTCAGCTAAGCAACTTGATGCAAGGTTTTGCATTTTCAGGAATTAGTCTTTAGCATTGTGCCGCACATGCACTAACATCCCTCTGTGTCGTCGAACAAGTTCTTGGAAACGGTTCGTACTGGTTCAGAATCCAGAATCTCCCTGTGTACTGTAAGCTATATGTGTATAAATGTAATTAAGCGGTTCACTTCTGAATGGGTAATGCAATGAATAGAGGATTGTCAAGAAGACTTTATGCTCACAATGGACGATTCAAATTTCCATGTACTAGACGGCCAGCGTAGCGGCCGCAGGCCGCAGTAATTAAGCGGTTTACTTCTGAATGGGTAATGCAATGAATAGAGGATTGTCAAGAAGACTTTATGCTCACAATGGACGATTCAAATTTCCATGTACTAGACGGCCAGCGTAGCGGCCGCAGGCCGCCAGTATATTTTAATTCGAAGAGCCTGAGAGTTGTCCTGGTTATCATCCCAGCTCGCGAGGCTTACGTGACTGTCACCTCATGCCATAGACTAGGTCATCCACCCCTCAATGCACCAGGTCCTTTAGGCTATGCAATTCTAGGCAATAGGCTTGGCCATCCAACGCTTTTAGCGCCAGGTCCATTGAGCTATATCAGTCTGAGCCGTAGAATTCGTACCCATTCGTACTGTGTCAAAGTTTTTTTTCTTTGTTTCCGTTAGGTCAGGCATGGCGATTCGGGACATCACTTCCATGCAGTAGTTTTCTATTTGCGTTTCATGTCATGGCCGATTTATTTGAGTTCTCATGATTGATGAAATCAAAATAATAATGTAAGATTTTTTGTTTCATGCTCCTCCCACAAATATTGTAGCGATTTTTGCGTGGTGAGGTTGAACGTGTAAAAAAATGTTGAAAGAGGTCCCACAGGACGGCGATGAGGCAGTCGCTGCAGATAATAAAAGTTTGGTGCTGGCGCGGAAACAACGTTTGCCACTGCCGTAGCGGTGCGAAGTCCCTAAATCGATGCTTTAGGAGGTTCTAGCCATAATGGCTTGAATGACTGATGAACAGTACCCTGTTGCAAGTAGGGAGCGGGAGCGTAAAGCCGAACAGCAAGAGGCAGGGAATGCTGGAGCTCAGAAATAGGAGAGCCATGCAGCCTGGTGGGCAATTTGATGCATGGAACGCAGCATTCAGGTGTCAAAAGCCGGTGGGCGGCCGGGAATTGAACCCGGATCTCTTGCTTGCCAGACAGGTGTGCTAACATTACACCACGGAACTCGGGACATTTTGTCAGGCCTCTCCATGTCATCTCAAATCACTACAGACGTTTGCGCAGCGAGCAGTCAGGCTGTACATTTTGCTGTAGGGAGGGGATATTTCCGTTGTGGCAGCAATGTGAGGGAAACGAAAGTGCTTCTGCTGCAACTCACACTTAACGCTCACACTGTTGTTCACTGGTCCTAATGTGGAGGCGAGGCATTTTCAGGAATTAGTCTTTCGTATTGTGCCGCACATGCACTAACTTCCCTCTGCGCCGTCGAACAAGTTCGTGGAAACGGTCCGTACTGTTTCAGAATCATTGATGTCTGCTAAACGTGCTAAACTGAGGCGTTCACAATGGCGATTATGACAATCAGCTCGAATATCATGATGATGGTGTTTAGGAGCTGAATATCCCAGTGTTCTGTAAGCTATATGTATATAAATGTGATGTAGCAGTCCAGTTCCGAATGGGTAATGCGATGAACAGAGAATTGTCAAGGAGACGTTAAGCACACAATAGACGATTCAAATTTCCACCGATTAGACGGCCAGCGTAGCGGCCGCAGGCCGCTAGTATCTCCTAAAGAGCAAAAAAACCACCCACATTGCACTTTTAGACATCCAGAAAGCGTTCGACTCTGTCCACCATGCCTCAATCATACGGGCGGCCGTTCGTCAAAGTGCTCCTAAACAATTTGTAAAATACCTTAAAAGTGCCTGCAACGGTTGTACCACCCAACTAAATTTCCATCCATGTCCAACCATTAATATGAGCAGAGGAGTAAAGCAGGGTGATCCGCTTTCACCAATTCTGTTTAACGCTGTCATTTACGAAATAATTATTTCGGAAGTGGACTCCTCAACGCCCTAGCCTTTGCTGACGATCTCTGTATCGCAACGTCTTCGGCAGCAGGACTGCGGACCTGCCTCAACCACATACAGAAAGAAGCAGCCCAGTCAGGACTTATTTTTAACCCCAGAAAATCAATAACTGTATCCAAAACCTTCATTAATAAGAAAGTCCATTTCTCCTCAAATGAATTTACCATCCGCAGTGAAATAATCCTGTCTCTCAAAGCAGAAGACCAAGTTAGATACTTAGGTGCACTAGTATCTCCAAGTGGTAAATTAATAGGAAAAACAAAGGATATTTTCCAACTAGGTCTGAAAAATCTAAGAAAAGCCCCTCTTAAACCGCAACAAAGGCTGTATATCCTGAGAAACCACCTCATCCTCAAAATGACCTACCATGCCGGAATAGGATATCCCCACAAAAATACCTTAATCAAAATCGAGAGGGAAATAAGATCAGCCGTCCGGGAATGGTTACGCCCTAAAGACACGCCTATCTCCTTCTTCCACTCTAAAGCAGGAGATGGTGGGTTACAAATCTGCCAGTTTACAAAGTGGATTCCATTCCTGAAGTTGAGACAGCAGGAACGTTTGGAAAACTTCAATCATCCAGCTTTCAAACAGCATAAAGAACACCTACAGGAATTACCACTCAAAGCAGTAAAATACCCAGAAATAAATAATGAGTCCTGTAAAACTAATGAAGAAATCAGTGACAAAACAGCCAAAGATCTATATAAAATGCTCGATGGGAGAGGTCTTAAACACGCGAAAGAAGTCCGAGCCATTCATTCATGGAAAACTGATGGAAATAAGCTCCAGAGAGGAGCATCCTTCATCTCCTCAGTTAAAGTCCATGGAAACCTACTTTCAATGCAAGCAAGGGCTGCAAGGGGGCGCAATGAAACCACTATGTGTAACGCAGGGTGCAACAGTCGTGCTTCCCTGAGTCACATCCCCCAAGAATGCTCCAGAACACACGGAGCACGAATCAGAAGACACGACGCCTTAGTAAAACTAGTAAATGAAAAACTAAGGAATCTAAACTTTACCACCTTAACTGAAAAAAAAATTAAAACAACAGCAGGACTACGTAAGCCAGACATCATCATTGTTAACAGCATTGAATCTTGGGTAATCGACGCGCAAGTGGTCAACGGCTATGACGACCCTGAAGATCTGCACCACCTTAAGAAACAATATAATAACCCAGACATCATAAAATGGATTAAAGACAAAACAGGCTGCCAATCAGTTAAGTTTACAACAATAACTTACAATTGGCGGGGAATCATGTCGAAAACATCTGCCAACGATCTAATTGATCTGGGAATAACAAAGAAAGACCTGAAGATATCTGATTGGAAAGAAAGTTCTCGGAATTTCTTGAATATCCAGTACAATTTTTTTTCCAGAGCATGCTAGAATGTTCTGCGTGTGTTTATAAGTAGGTCGTGTCCTTCGGCATACAACCGTATATTATTACAGCCCTGGTGCTCTCCAGCCATGAACCAGCCCTACCCTCTTACAAAGGAGCAAGTTCGCCTGCTTCTTCTTTATGACTTCCGAATGAAGAAGAAGGCAGCCAATTCCATCGCTGACATCAATACCGCGTTTGGCCCGGACACTGTGTCCAAGAGCACTGCCTATGATTGGTATAGTCGCTTCCAGAAAGGAAATGAAAGCCTGGAAGACCAGCCACGCACCGGTCGTCCTTCGGAGTTTGATAACTCTGCCTTGCAGGAGGCACTGGAGGCCAACAACCGGCAAACATCGCGAGAGCTTGCGGACTTGCTGGGTGTCTCCCATACAACTATCCTTCATCATCTGGCTGAGCTTGGCAAGAAGGCAAAGTTGGGGTGCTGGGTACCCCACAAGCTGGATGATCGGGACCGCCAGCGACGAGTAGACATGGCCATCTCCCTTCTGTCACGTTCGCGCCGAACGGATTGGCTAGACTCAGTGGTGACAGGCGACGAAAAGTGGACCTTCTATGCCAACATTCGACGAAAACGTCAGTGGGTGGACGCCGGAGCATCGGCCGAAAGAGAACCCCGTCAGGAGTTGCACCCCAAAAAGATTATGCTCTCGGTCTTCTGGGATTCGAAAGGCATCATCATGTTTGAGCTGTTGCCGCAAAACACCACCATCACTGCTGCCTACTACTGCCAGCAACTCGATCGGCTGCAGCAGAAACTGGCTGAAACACGCCCAGAAAGACAGAGAACCATCCTCCTCCACGACGATGCCCGGCCGCACACCGCTAGACAGACTCATCTAAAGTTACTGGACCTGTGCTGGGAGGTGCTGCCGCATCCGCCCTACAGCCCCGACCTTGCCCCGTCCGATTATCACCTTTTCGTTGCCCTGGACCGTCACATGGGTGGAAAGCAGTACGCCAACCAAGACGACCTGAAAACCGATTTGGCCAACTTTTTCGTAGCGCAGCCGCCAGAGTTCTATTGGAATGGCATCCATAGTTTGCATAAACGTTGGCGTGAAGTGATAGAGGCCAATGGTGATTACATTCATGATTGAGATGATTTTGCTTTTAAATAAACAGGGTTGTAATAATTGTTCATGAAATTCCGAGAACTTTCTTTCCAATCAGATAGGAACAGTGAGGGTCTTGGAACTCACTCATGCCTGTTGGAGGCAATACCAATGTAGTACGCATAGTAGTAAAGCAACGATGACAAAGAAATGAAGGCAATGACCTTGCCAGATGGGGTAGGTGTTGCTCCTGTGATATAATTGCACCTAATACCACAGTACAAATTTTAGAGTTAAGCTTCTCTATTTTCCTCTTTTGTTTTATGTACACTACAAAAGAAAGAAAAAAAATAGCCAAATGCCTCGTCCGCTCAGAGACGGACAGAGTCCTCTACGAAAACCCTCGCCACTTACCCCGAAATCATCGATTTTCGTGTGTGTATGTGTTCTTCGAGGAGCGGCCGCAATGGCCCGCGGAGGTTTGCTACCTTTACACAACCGAACCCAGGACATTCAGTCGTGCCTCTAAACACTGCCTTCATCACATTACCTCACTCCTAATCAAGTCTGGACTTCCAGTCTTTTAGACACAAATGACTGCCTGACCTTTCGGATACTTGGGTGGGTGAAAGGTGAATGAACCCTCTTGATCTACTTTGTGCGCTCGCATTTCAACCGAATACCGTTCCAAAACGTTATTTACCTTAACTCAATTTATTTCCCATTCTTAATCATTACCTACGGGAACCGAGGAACTCACTCTATTGTACTTTTCTGTAGTTCTCCATAGTCCCTCTTTTTAATTTAACTTTTCACTCATTTTGATTTTGCACTTTGTTAGCTGATTTTCCTCTTATTCCAAATGCTTCCTTTTTTCCCAAACAATTGTCGATTAAGTGCCTGTCGACTTCGTCCTCCGGCCACCGTCGTATCGCAGGCAACCTTGCGAAATGTCGGCGTGGACGTTTCACAATTCCTCCGCTTTTTGTGAGACCCGGGACATCTGACTTTTCGTCGCCTGTCCAGGCTGGATATCTGGATGGCCGACATTTTCTCCGCATTCCGTGTAAGCCCATTTCGAAACCACATTTTGCAATCCGAAAAGTTGGAAAATTCTCGTCGGGGGTGGCGGAGGGCCACAAACAGAATTTTGATTTGCTGTTGCCGCGATATTTATTGATGCATGTCTCACGAAATCATGCTAATTTCCCTCTGCTGTTTGGGGCTGTCAACATTTACTTGCAAAATTGCCTTTCAACTATTTCAATACAAATCAGCATAAAAACTAAAATTGCTTTCCAATGAAATTTCTGTAGAAGGTGAAACAAGTTTTTCAAATAATCTTTAAGCATTTCGCAACGATTTGATGCTGACCTAAATTAACAGTTCGCAACAACTTCATTCTGAATTCTTAATTACTTAATTTAAAAAATTAAATTTTGAAAAAATTACAATTAAAATATTTATTACCGATAGGGCCGAAACAGAAGGTCCGCCGTGGGAATGCGTCAGCTGAAGCGATTCTGAAGGGAAGAGACAAGAGAACCCCGTGGGAAAATACACAGAAGCTGACGCTATTGCCATTCTTATGAAATCGAGGGGAATCAAGAGAAATCCCGACTGAGAAGGTGTGACCATTAAGCCATGCTGCGGCTCGTCTTCTGCCTCGCTACCGTCCTCCCGGCCATCCTCGCCCAAGGTCAGCCATAGGAATTCCCTTCAGAACTCAAAGAAAACGAAAATTAAGATGATTTCAGCTTTAAGCATTGCCCAGGCACGTGCATTCGAGGCAAAGGGCCTTCGAGATTCGATCTAGCCAACTTTCTCCAACCGGCAAATCCAGCGCGACCAGCACAATCACTCAATTCACTTCAAATTACTTTTGGCCATTCGATGATGGTTCTCCAAAGGAAAGTCGAGTTTAGAGAATCTTCTGGACTAAACCGGTAAATGTCTCTCAGCGTGACACCAAGAGGTTCTCAAAGCAGCTAGGTTATTAATGATTCGGGATTGCAGTTTTCTTTAAATCTGGAGATTATCTTGGTCTTTCGTTTTCCAAGGGGGATCCATGGATTCGTTTGACGAATTCGTGACGGTTCTGCGCGCCGGGTATCACACGGCTGTCAATTATAACAGCAACTTTTGCGAATCGTCGACCTACCCGGAACCCATTGTGAGTCCCTTGCCAATTTTTCATTCTTTCTCTTTGGGATTCCTGTCGTGACGATTTTCGCTGAAATTGGGAACTGAAGCCTGTCCGGTATATTCGCCTTCGTGCTCTTGGGACTCTAGAATTTTCAAATTTTCTATAAATTCGATTCTGGTAATAACTTAATTTACTACTTCATTTAAGTTGTTATATATTCGCGTGCAAATTACTTTCGTTCCAAACGATCATCTTGAATTCATAAAATCATCATTGGGGTTGCGAAGTTCATGTCTCCTTCATTTCTGATGCATTAACGTATCCCATAGTTTTTTCCCCAATTGCAAGCATAAGTGCTCTTTCAACGCAATGATATAATACTGATTCTCAGGCTCACGAGAAGAAAGGTTGATTTCTTAGTGGAGAAAAATTATTCTGCTTTCAGGAATAAGAGCTGAAAAAATATTTAATATTTCCAAGTACCTCAACTAGAAGGAAATTAACTCAGACATCGCAGACCCTGCGTTCCAAACTCAAAAATCGCATGCAGTGTCCATAATAATAGACTGGAGAAATTAGTTGCACATGTAAAGATCAAGGTTCACCACAACGGATGGAAAACCATTAGAAATCCATATAATATCTAGTGTTCCTCAGAAGTCGTGCACCATGGTGTTTATTCAGACTTACAATTTAATGGCAATATATGTTGAAATGGTTGTTTTCCTCAGCAATGCAGATTTCAACATAGAATAATAATGATCGTCACCATCGTAACAATTAGCAATAATGATGAAAATTATTTTTTAAATATGCATTAAAGGAACAGAAACAATATTAAGAATAATAAATAAATAATAATACTTCTGAGACACCCTGCACCTAGATGGACTGCAGGAATGACTGACACTAATTCTGATTGTCATGAATTTGTAGAAATCTGTAATGACCTAAATAAGTTGTTTCAGATCTCTTCGTAGGCATTCATTCACATGAAGCCGAAATATTGGAGGCATTTTGCTGATTATTACTAGTGGGATAAAGTCCCGAAAAGGCAAGTTTTTCCGTCGATATGCATATCCTTTGCAAAATGGTACTTTTGAGTCCCATTCATTTCGCGGCGCAAAACTTCATAACGTGACACTTGGAGCAAGAGTAACCGCAGTGCTAACCGTGGTAACCGAATAACCGTAGATACTGCCGTGCGGCAATCCCATTTCATTTCCCGCTATCGCTTCCAATCATCCAAAATGAGCAATTAAACCTCATCGACAATTTGAACGCGTGAACTATTTTCATGAACATGCAATTCAACGCATCAGGGAAAAATACTCCTTACTTGATACGTTTGATCAAATAGACAGCCGTGAAAATTGAAAACGGAAAATGAAAATTTTTAACATTCTTACGCAGGGAAAGACCTAAGACTTGTCCATATTTAGGTTATTTGAGAGAAAACCAAGGAAACTCACCAGAATTACATGTCAATACATGCGTAAATAAGTATTAAATATAAATGTAAGTAAATATATAAATTTTAGAGAAATTCTTGATAAGGAATCGACCTAACGCCGATGGGTCTTTTCGAAACAGCTACTGTCAGTCCATTTCGACAGGTGGCAATACACGGAAGGAGAGCTGCAAGTTCCTTCCGTGCTCGGCGTGCAGAGCCTCATTACGCGTGAGGGTTTCTTTTCCTCTCATTTAAGGAGGGCATCGCTCAACGAGGTAATTTTTCTTTCCAGCCGATGGAACGACCGTCGTCCTCTACTCTATCGTGAGCTCTGACGGGCACGCGACGGCCGAGGGCTTTGAAGTTTCTGGAACCGGTCAAATTATTAACAATTTTGTCTTACGTTGCACGATCGGTGTTGGAGCTTTCTTCGTCGAAAAAGGTGTCCACCAGCCCGAGTGAGTTCCTTTTTCGGGATATCTACCGAGGTCGCAAAGAAACGTCATTATAAGGAATGCAATGGCTGCTAATGCAGGTAGTCACTCTAGTCGCCATTCGGTAATGCCCATGGCATTTAGAGTTAGTACTGCATATGGAAGACGTAAATGTGCTTAAAAATCGCAAAGATTAACTCAAATGTATCTGCACTAATTAGAATGCGAATGAAAGACCGCTTCTCTAGTCACGTACTTCCACTGGAAGTTACTAATACCAACACCTGACGTACCTGAGAAATCTCTTTCCAAAACATCCTGGTCTGGTTAAAATAAAGCATATGCAACGGTTAAATTAGCTCGTTCGATTTCCCTGCTCCACTAACCTGGAGGAAGTTATCATTTTCACTGATCGAATCCCCGGTTTTTGCAAAGGTGATACTTTCTAAGGCATACTTCGGACTTTGACGGATTCCAAATTGCTTTCTTGTAATATTCGAAATGTTTCTGTGGCTACAATTCCGTCGAATTTTTTAATCAGAAATCCCCAGGTCGCTGTATGAGACGCTTGGATTCGATCAGTTGGCCGCTTCGTTCTGCAGGAAAAACACAGACTTTTTCCCGTGGACTTTTTTTTTCCCAAAGGATAACGTTTACCAGCCACCACACGCATCAAACGTGCGCTATTTGAAGGAAAGGATCACTGTGGCACCCTCCAGAGTTACTCCTGACATGATGCAAATTTAGAATGAGCTTCAGAATCGTTGCCCTATCTGCCGCATCATTTTCAACAGTCAAATCGAGTTGTGGAAATTGCACGTAACGAAACTTAAAGAGTACGCCGCTATTTTATTACCTTTCCTTGCGCTGTGAAGAAGGGGTACAAAGTTATGAGCCATGAAAGATGTAAATACACTTTTGAATCACCCTGTGTAAACGTGTAAACAATGTCGAGGATCTTTGTTAGCTCCTCTTATATTATAAATAGGCTTCAGTTGTCATGAGAAAAGAAATATCAACAATTCTATGATCATTATATTCAGAATTTTATTTCTGAAAAATTATCCATCTGGAATTGATCTCTTATCCAAATATTTCTTATTGCTGGAACCGTTCACTATTTTAGTAAAAGTAAAAGCAAAAGTTCCTCGTCAAGAGGAAGAAGTGGAAGAGACGGAGGAAGTGGTGTGGTTCTGCCTCAATGTTACAGCACTACACTGGCGACATACGACGAACTGCTGACGGCATTGATGGAAAGTCGTCGCTTGTTCATCGCGGCAAGCCTCACGGACTGCGGGCATCCCCTGCCACCCGAGGTCTACTTGGCGGAGGGGGGATCCACTTACTACTACTTCTACGTCGTGCCGGGTTCGTATCGCGGCGTTCTTTCGTTTCGGATGGCGAAAAGAAAATAGGATGAGACTCTTTTCTAAGCAGGCGAGGCAGGGGAAGACGTGCTCGTTGTGGAATATCCCGGCTTTGCCCTCAGCGAGACCGGGGAGACGACAGTCGTCATTATGAATAGGTTCTTCGTCTCCCGAGATGGATCCGTCTCGGTCAAGATCAATCATTACAATAGCTTCACCTGGGAAGATGAATACCCCTTTCCCGAAGGATTCCAGTGCGTCCTTGGGGAGTCCGCCAGGTTTCGCTATGACTCAGGTTAACACAAAAAAGTCCTTAAATTTTGCTATTAAATGACATTCTTCCAACTTCAATTCAAGCAGTTTAATTAACGTGAAGCTTAAAAATGGGAAACATGAAATGTAATCCTTGGAAAAGGTCTTGTCTTGGTACCAGTTCCAAAGGTGAAAGGAAATTATTAATACTCGAAGCCTTTTTGTGTTTTCTCACTCGAAAGCAGAATTTTAAAATATTCAAACCGGAAAAGAGGAAAGGCGAAGAGCGTTGAAGAAAGTTAAATTAAGATAAATTAACAAAGCAGTTAACAGGAAATTGCACCTTCATGCGGAAGAGCATCAAAATTTTATAAAAATAGCAGATTAATTTGAAAATTTTCAGATTCTCTCTTTCGTTATGAATTTATTATTGTATCTTTTTATACAATATTTTCATGAACAAAAGCAAAATGATGCGCGGCATAAAAGAACTCTGGAATAAATTCGGGAATAAATTTTCCGCAGTCGAGTACGAGGTCAAGCAATAAAATAACAAAACTGAATTCTGAATTTTCATTGTTCTACTCTGGAAAGAGATGGATGGAAACTCTTGTAATGCAATGAGATCATCTCATCTTTAATTTTAGGCGATACGTACGACTCATTTTCATCGTATAGCGAATTGGAAACTGCATTCTCGGAAGGGAAACACATCCGAGCTTCATTTGACTCATCTGGCTGCGTCTCGCCCAACGACACAATCCCCGACATTGCTGTAAGTCGCGGAGCATTACATATTTTCTAGCTACTCGTTGCAATCGAATGATGATTCTGCTTCGCGTTGTTCACTTGGGTGAGTTACTCTCTCCCTCTCGTGGACTGCAGCATTGGAAAGTGATTGGCATACGACTGCTTGTCTATCCTAAAAACATTGTCTTTAAGCAGCAAAACTCTCTGCAATTAGCCAATGTCATTAAAAGTGCTTTGGAAGGTTTCATGTTCATGCTTAAAGAAGTAGACTGTGCTAATATTGGAAAACTAAGAATCGTTCCATCAGTGTTGTGCAGCAATGAGCCGTGGTGGATGCCGTAATGGATCATAATGAATGATAATGAAGCCATTGCATCGTAACATAATCTACACGCCTTTCCAAACTTATTTCCATTAGTAATCACACACATAGTAATCACACATCAATGAAATACCTATGCCCTGCCTAGAAAGCCGCCGGCTCCCTGTGGCGCTCCGTGCTTTATAGTTCTGAAAATCCTTGAATCTTCTTTCGTCTCTTTTTGTTTCGTGAAGGGAGAGCGAACGTATCTTTTGACGCTGCCATGCGTTTCAGATCTGAAGATAGATCTGATCTCCTGGAGGTCGTTCCACGACCTTGAAAAGTGGGCAACTTTCAATTACAACTTACAATGCATATATTAAATTCGTCTTGGAGTCATTTAATGGCATTTCGCAGATGCTAAGAAAAATATTACAAAATTGCATGACATTTGTAAGACAATGGAAGCAAATTGCGGGCGGATGATACCTAACTGGGACATCACTAAATCTGCAAGACAGCAATTTCACTGGGACCTCTTCTCATCATACTAAGACTAAGATACTTTTCCATTAGAATATTATGGAAAATCCTTCCCGAAACAATGCAATATGAAAGCATGAAAACGTAATATTACCGAGTACGAAGTAATATCGAAATATTATTTCATACTACGTTCTATTACATATTTTTAAATCGTGATAGATATGGAAAAAAATCAATTCACCAATTCAGTTCAGTTTGCAGGAATCATCATCGTCAATTGGCAAAAAGAAAAAAGTGGACCATCCGAAGGAGTCCACATCTCTCAATCCTTCATTGACGGTAGTTAAAATTTGCGAAATACATGAATATCAGACCGATAAAGTCTCATATTTTCAAGCCCCGTCCTGAATCTTAATTTAGCCTTGGGAAATTCAATATTTCAAGAATACTACACCGCCCCCGACGACGTACTATACGTGAGGACTGCCATTTCAAATACAACCGACCCTGGGAGCATGGGAATATACGTGTTCTCGTGCCCAATCGGGGGAGCGACCCATTTCGCCGCGCATTCCTTTGACAGGTTGACTCCTCTCATTTTGTATCACATCGCGAAGCAAAACGAGATGCGATTATGCATGTTTCCTCCGAATGTAGAACGGAATTGACAGATTACTCGGAAGTTGTGCAGGCGGAACTGGACGGAGCGGTAATGTCGATAATGCTGGACCTCGATGAATGCGTGGACCCGACTGGCCAACTTGATCTTTCTGGTTCGGTCTTTGGGTCTTACTTCCAAGACGTCGTCATTTTAGACCCCGATAGTGAGATTCCTTCTTACCGATCTCTTTCTATACGAGTGCATTTCATGCCTTGCGTCCCGAAAAATTTAATGTATGCGTTATTTTCATCTCTTTTTCCGTGCTTCAGCCGCGGAAGCAGTGCTGTATGGCGGAGCAGGCGTTTCGACCAGCGATCCCGTCAGTGGAATCGCCTACATCTTCTTCGGAGTGATGATCGAAGCGAGCAACAATGCCGTCATCCTCCCAGGCTACTGGCATTTCAACGAAAACGGCGAATGGGTGAACGACTACGGCGATGCGATATTGGAATGCTCCCTCGGCGGGGGTGTCACGATCATCAGGGAGGCATGAGAGTTCATTCGAGTCCTTTTCATTCATTTATTCATCCCGCCAATTTCCGATAAGATTTCCTTCTCTAATTCTTACCGAGAATGGGTGGTCCATGAAATAAAGTTTGACCGATAAAAACTAAAGGAAAATCTTCCCATCAATCAAAGGAGAGTGGATGAAAATGCTGTGTTTCTGCAATTTTCTGCAGCATGTTATGTTTGGCAAACTTGACCTCATTTTCAACGATGTTGTAGTCCAGATGTGTGATGAATATGTGCCTCTTACCTAACACGAAAGCGCATTCCTATCTCTTCCGGTGAGATAAGTCTTTTGTTGCAATCAACAATCAAGAAAATATGATTTTATTAAAGCATGCGGGTTGCGACATTCTGTCAAATTCATTCCGCTGCAACGATGATCGCCCTCCCAGAGATTATGATGGTATTTGTTGATTATAAATTTGTAATTGCTGTTCGATCCAATAATGGATTGGTGGGTGAATTCACATCAAATTGACAATTTCCCTGAATTAAATGGCCTGTTAGCAAGAGCATTTCGGTGAATTTCAAGTCACAAATGCAAATTCGAAAGTTGTCATAGCCTGTAAACCTGAAGAATGCCTCATTAGTCCGTAAATGTTGTTTGTTCAGGTTTCGTGAATTTGCAAGCTTGCTGGAAAGCGAAATGAAATTACGTGATTTTATGTCACCGGCGTTCAGCTACGACAGAAGTTGGAAGGGCCAGACTCCAATGTTTTACACGTCACTTCGCAGACTAAAAAAATCACGTTAAAAAATGCGCAGAACTTTAACATTTTTCAAAGTAACAACATGAAGGCTTTCTTGCGCAAAAATAGCCATTTAACTGAATTTTGGACAGCAATTCGAATAGGGGCTGTGGGGCAGTCGGTCAGTCGCCAACCGAAACAGTTCTTTCATTCCTACAGAATATTAGTTTTCGCAGCGCTTCACATGTGTCATGCGTGGGTCCCGGGGTAGCGTGATGTCCATCAGGCCCTTGGAACTAAAAATGCCGGCTGAAGCTTTCGGCAACAGCTTACATTCAACAACAACAACAACAGCAGCAACAACAACAGGGTACCAATAAATGGCAAGGACGAATGAGGCAGGACTGAAAGCAAGACTGAGACAGCAGAGGTCTCACTCTCCGCGAGTCTCTCCCCACCCCAATAATAATCACCCATTAAACACCCATTAGGGCAAGCTTCTTGGAGAGCAAGAAGGTGGATTAAGTCCAAGCGCGACGGCGTTCAGATTAAGGCGTTCAAATTGCCGGATCTAAAGCCGTTCGAGTTGCCGTTGAAGCCATCGGCTTTTGTTTCTGGGACGCCAGGGGTCCTCTCAAAACTGTTTTTGGAAACGGGGAAACCGGGAAGCCCAGAAAAGCCTCTTTGCCCTTGTTGATCTTGCGGCTTTCACGCGTTCGTGCATTGTGCAGACGAACAACTCGCAGGCCGTAATAAGCCCAGTACTTTCTCATAAAATGCGACTTAAGAGTGTTTATTAGGCAAATCCCAGGAGTGAGTGACTCCGATCATGACTTGCTACTGGGTGACAACTGAAAATAGAAAATAGACTGGAAATGGAAACGTTTCCCTTTTCCTTTCTTTAGGCACTGACTGAGACTTATTATGTAATTAATATGGCTGAAATAATGGAATAATAATATGGAATAATGGACTAAAAGGTGAATGAACCCTCTTGATCTACTTTGTGCGCTCGCATCTCAACCGAATAACGTTCCAAAACTTCATTTATTTACCTTAACTCAATTCATTTCCCATTCCTAATCAGTACCTACGGGAACCGAGGAACTCACTCCATAGTACTTTTCCATAGTACTCCATAGTCCCTCTTTTTAATTTGACTTTTCTCTTATTCTGTTTTTGCACTTTGTTGAGCTGATTCTCCTCTTATTCCAAATGCTTCCTTTCCCAAACAATTGTCGATTAAATGCCTGTCGAGTTCGTCCTCCGGCCACCGTCGTATCGCAGGCAACATTGCGAAATGTCGGCGTGGACGTTTCACAATTCCTTCGCTTTTTGTGAGACCCGGGACATCTGCCTTTTCGTCGCCTGTCCAGGCTGGTTATCTGGATGGCCAACATTTTCTCCGCATTCCGTGGGAGCCCATTGCGAAACCGCATTTTGCAATCCGAAAAGTAGGAAAACTCTCGTCGGGGGTGGCGGAGGGCCACAGACATAATTTTGATTTGCTGTTGCCGCGATATTTATTGATTCATGTCTCACGAAATTATGCCAATTTCCCTCTGCTCTTTGGGGCTGGCGACATTTGCTTGCAAAATTGCGTATCAACAATTTCAATGCAAATCAGCATAAAAACTAAAATTGCTTTCTAATGAAATTTCTGCAGAAGGTGAAAAAGATTTTTCAAATAATTTTTAAGCCTTTCGCATCGATTCGAAGCTGACCTAAATTAATAGTTCGCGACTACTTAATTCTGAATTCTGAATTACTTAATTTAAAAAATTAAAATTGAAAATATTAAAATTAAAATATTTATTACCGATAGGGCCGAAACAGAAGGTCCGCCGTGGGAATGCGTCAGCTGAAGCGATTCTGAAGGGAAGAGAGAAGAGAACCCCGTGGGAAAATACACAGAAGCTGACGCTATTGCCATTCTTATAAAATCGAGGGGAATCGAGGGAAGTCCCGATTGAGAAGGTGTGACCATTAAGCCATGCTGCGGCTCATCCTCTGCCTCGCTACCGTCCTCCCGGCCATCCTCGCCCAAGGTCAGCCATAGAAATTCCCTTCAGAACTCAAAGAAAACGAAAATTAAGATGATTTCAGCTCTAAGCATTGCCACTGGCACGTGGAAGGCCCTTTGCAGGCAAAAGGCCTTAGAGATTCAATATAGCCAGCTTTCTCCAACCGTCAAATCCAGCACGACCAGCACTATCACTCATTACACTTCAAATTATCAAGCCAGCGATTGCGAAAATTGCGAAATTAATCAAATATTGAAATTACAGACACCGACTTCGGGCTGAGCGTCCTTCAAACGGGAAAAAATACGAAATATTTTTCTCTCAATTTTTACAGCAAGTTTTTAAAAAAATTTTTTGTTCTCATTCTCGAGAGCTTTTCGCGAAAAATGTTCATTCTCTGCATTACCCATTCGGGAAAAGGACAAAATAATTTACTTAGTGCCTAATCACCAATTCAATTATTCGATGATTTTTTGGGTGAGAAAACGATTGGAAAATTTTACAATAAATATACATTTAACCGATATTGGTTGCAATGAATTTGTCGCTTTTGGCCTTTCCATGATTTTTTGCTTAATGAGCCCTCAGTTTCTAAAAGAGAAAACTAAATTGAAACGGTTCATCCGAGGTTGGACCATTTCAATAACTGAAATGGTAAGTGAAAGCCGTCACTGGAGATTCAAGGTTTCTTCATTGCTGCTTCTTTCTCTGAAGGGGGGTCCATGGACTCGTTTGAGGAATTCGTGACGGTTCTCCGCGCCGGGTATCACACGGCTGTCAATTACGACAGCGACTTTTGCGAATCGTCCACCTTTCCCGTTCCCATTGTGAGTCTCATGCCGATTCTTCATTCATTCTTTTTCGTGACGAATTTTGCAGAATTTGGGAGGACTAATCGGCTCGGGTCTTGAGGTTATTGGAGATAATTGGTATTTTATCCCCTAAGGGCAAATTTTTCCATAGAAAACGGTATATTCTTTGGGATATCTTGCTTTTGAGGCCCATTCATTCATGGCAAAACTCTTGAAATCGACTATCATGCTCCTGCCAATATGGCAATTGCAGATTGCGGAATGCGGCGATGTCATCTCTCTTTCTTGTAACACTTTCAGAGAAACAGTTCAACCGGAACTCGCGCATTCAACACACGGGGCGCAAACATGAGTCTATCTTCTAGTATTTATCAAGGTGACTGTCCTTGATACCAAGGACAGTCGCTCGCGTCTAATAAATGTCCATGCCTCCATTCGCTCCCTCGAAAGAAGCGAAAAAAAAACTTTAAAATTTGTTTCGGTTGAACCTTCGTTAAGGATTGCGCTACGAAAGGCGAAGAATAAATTTAAAGGGAATTTCCACGGAAAATTCGGAATCTCCGTTTCCCCAATGCCGCTGGCATTTGGCTGGCATTTGGCTTCACAGAACGATACGAAATTCAGCGCCTCAACGTCAAATATTAATCGATAAGTTGGATCAAATAGGCAGCCGTGAGAATAGAGAACGGACGATTAAAAAGCATTTTTTACATTCTTACGCAATTGTCGAAGATTTCTCCACTTCCAGGCTATTTATTAGAATAGACTCAAGAGAAATATTCAAATCTGTAAATCCGTAAACATTCAAATCTGCAAATTCGTAAACATTCAAATCTGAAGCATTAAACGAAGAATGAACCCAACGCAATCTGGATTTCCCGGCCAGGTGCTGTCAGTCCATTTCGACAGGTGGCAATACATAGAAGGAGAGCTGCAAGTCCCTTCCGTGCTCGGCGTGCAGACCTTCATGACGCGTGAGGACATTCGCTCCCTCTTCTTGCATTTGAGCATCGCTGAGCAAGGCAGATTTTTCTTTTCAGCCGAGGGGGCGAACGTCATCGTCTACTCTATCGTGAGCTCTGACGGGCATGCGACGGCCGAGAGCTTTGTGGTCTCCGGCGAAACCGGTCAAATTATTGACAGTTACATCTTGCGTTGCACGATCGGTGTTGGAGCTTTCTTCGTTGACAAAGGCGTCCACCAGCCCGAGTGAGTTCCTTTTTCGGGATTTCTGCCGGGAACACAAAAAAGACATGAGGAATTCGGTGGCTGCTGGGGCCGGTGGTTACTGTCACCATTCGGCAGTGTTTACAGCATCTTGAGCAAGTACTGTAAATAGAAGGCGTAAAAGTGCCGAGAGATTGCAAAGACCGACCGAAATTTGTCTGCAATAATGCCGATTGCGGTATAGGCGCAGAAAAATAAAAAGCATCGATAAAATCCTGCATCGCAACTTAAGCATGCGTATTGAAAGCCACGGGTACCTGCGCCTTGTCTCCCGGGGAAATTTCAAAACGGAAGCGACCGTGGCGATTTCTCATGAAACTTCAGACTCGAATGGATTTCAGTCGACTCGTGATATTAGGAACGTCTTAATGGTTGAGCTGGCATCAACAAAGTGCGAAAAGATGCTGATTAGAAGAAAAATGTCGATGCATGCCTCCTTGAACATGCATCGTTGCAGCTTTGATCGATTGTTTTACTTCCAAGTTTCGGCAGTGTCCCAGCTTCAAATTTTCTATCATTTCTCGTAAAGAACAGTCAGTCTTTTAATGTGTCGGGAAAAGAATATTGCGGGAGAAATTTTGAAACCCTGAAAATTTACTATCGCTCTGGAATTAATATCTTGCGGAAAAAAATGTTTGAACAGTTCATGACCGTTCTAACGTATAGCGAATTAGAAATTGCATTCTTGGAAGGTAAATGCAAAAGTTCGTCTTTGTGGGGTAGAATTAGAAGAGTCGGAGGAAACGGTGTCGAAACGCACTAAATGTTGCAGCACTACACTGGCGACATACGACGAATTGCTGACGGCATTGATGGAAAGTCGTCGCTTGTTCATCGCGGCAAGCCTCACGGACTGCGGGCATCCCCTGCCGCCCGAGGTCTACTTGGCGGAGGGGGGATCCACTTACTACCACTTCTACGTCGTGCCGGGTTCGTATCGCGGCGTTCTTTCGTTTCGGATGGCCAAAACAAAACGGGACGAGACTCTTTGCTTCGCAGGCGAGGCAGGGGAAGACGTGCTCGTTGTGGAATATCCTGGCCTGGCGCTTAGCGAGATCGGCGAGGGGACGGTTTTCACGATGCACAGGCTCATCGTCTCCCAAGACGGGTCCGTCTCGATCAGGATCAATTATTTCAATACCCTCACCTGGGAAGATGAATACCCCTTTCCCGAAGGATTCCAGTGCGTTCTTGGGGAGTCCGCCAGGTTTCGCTATGACTCAGGTTAACCCAAATAGTGCTGAACTTCCCATTTTCCATGCCATTCCCCTCTCTTGATTATTAGTTATTTGCTTCATTAACGTGAAGATTAAAAGTGAGAATCATGAAATATAATCCTGGGAAAAAGTCTAGTATTGCTACTAATCACTCTACTACTACTACTAATCAGTCTTCTCACTCGATAGCACCAGAAAAAAAATTTAGACCGGAATAAGGCGAAGACGAACGATATCGATGAAAGTTCAATAATAATAATAAATTTCAGTAGAAAATTGCGCCTTTAAGCGCAAGGGCTTCCCAATGTTCTTAAAGAAACACTGCTGAATATTGCAACGTGAAAATTTTTAGATGCTTTTTTTAGTTCCGCAGGTATCTTACCTTTTATGCAAAACGTTCATATAGGAAAGTAAAGTCGTGCGTGGATTTCTATGGGCATGAAAGAATTAAAGAATAAATTATAGAAGATTGTTTCCGCGGCCGGGTCGAATAAACGCCAAAACATGAAAATTCTCTTAATTTATGTTAAATTTTAATTATTTAATATTTACATATTTTGAATCGTCGTCGGTCAACTCTGAAAAGGAATGGAAAAAAATTCCTGCAATGCAAATGAGTGCCTGAGATCATCCTATAATTTTAGGCGACGCGTACGACTCATTTCCAACGTACGCCGAGTTAGAAACCGCCTTCTTGGAAGGCAAGCACATCCGAGCCTCATTCGATTCCTCCGGCTGCAGCTCGCCCAACGAAACCCTCCCCGACGTTGTTGTAAGTCCCGGCGTATTTTGCATTTTCCAGTTTTTCCGGCGTAATTTTAATTCTGTTCCGCATTGTCCGTTTTAATTTACATTTCGCTGGCGTGGGCTGAACCATTGAAGACTGCTGATTCGTTTGTGTGAAACCTCAAATGCAATCGCAAGCCAATCAATGCATAGCTTTAAGGTACTAAGGGAAGATGAAAATCGTCCCCCCTGGAATCAAATTCTGGCTTATAATTATTGTAGAGGACCCCAAGGGCATGGAAAGGGCATATGGGGGGCATGGAAAAGTGCCTTGAAGGCACTTTTTGGCACTCTCAGGTCAAGCACCTGACCGTGGCGAATGGTCAAAGGTCACGATTTGCACGCCTCTCTTCGAAAATCTGTATCTCCCCAACCCATGGTCGCAGAAACGTCAAATTTGCGCCATTCTCCTCGCCACAGAACATATTAAATGATGAGCCCCAAAACGTGCGCATCTCTCTGCTCCCTGAGACGCCGTGGCGCCATTTGTGAAAATTCGCGTTTCGCGAATTCGCTTCTTCCCTCGCTCATTCTCCGAAGAAACATTCCATCGTGAAAAGCATGCTATAGTTTTTAGAGACCGTCCCCATTCGTCTTCGTGTCAAAGGGCGCGATGATTCAACGAACCGTTTTCCTTGGAAGTTCGAAAATGTACCTCAAATTCTCCCTATTTTTGCATAGTGCCTCACATCCATGGTCATTTCTGGAGAACGAGATGGAAATTCAAAATTTCAACAGACAGAATTGTGGAGAAGCTTCTTGAGCAGCTTCAGGTCTATTTTCAGACAAATCTGTTCACCCCACTCAGATCCTTAGGGATTTTATTGAACCTAGGTTTGAAATTTTCCAGAATGTCAATTATATTATGTGCTCCTTCTCTTCTCTGGGCCTCGAAATTCCAATATAGCTTACTATAAAGTGTAGCGATATGTATAAGAATGTGATTGAAACCGAATTTGTGAAATTCATTCCAGTCATTAGGAGATAGCAATATTTTAAACAGAATCGGTAGAAAAATTCATGCTGCCCCGACTGGCTGTTCCCAGTTGCGGATTTCCCCCCGCTCACGTCCCCCCCTCGCACAATCCTCTCACACGTACTCCTTCCTCATTCCCCCCCTTCTCCCCTTCCACTCCCCTGAGTCTCCTGCCAGGACGCTCATGGCACCCGCCTTCTCGTCTCCTGTCTCGCCGTCTGGACGTGTGATGGGATAGGGAAGTAACTCTCTTCGTTCCTTCTACCTCATCCCTCTTCATAATCCCATCCACGATGCAACGTATCGAATACACTCTCGTTTTCACTGGTTCATTCACGCTTTGTGTATGGAGCCTTCATACATCAAGTTTTACGTATGAAATATCGTGTCAACTGCAAGGGATATTTTTACTTTATGAAACTTCATTTTGTAATGCAAAGGCATTTTCCTCAACGAAATTGGGAGCCTTGTTGTCCGGAAATTATACTCTATACGTACAGCTGAATAGAAATTGTGAACTTTCCCGCTGCTATCAGAATCAGTGGCAGATAGAAGCAACCTGTATTTTTCCTTCAGACACCGTTCCTCTAGCGGCTTTTGAAATTGAAGTTTCGAAATTGGAATGAGTAAGTTATGGAGGCTCCATCGTTGTTTTTTTGCTAAGGAACTTGTACAGTATATTCCGAGGTGCACGTCCCACGTGACTGAAAATTCAGATTCGGGCACTTTACCGGGGAAATTTATCGCCAAGTCTTGAATGGCAACGTTCGGAGGAAGAACATTATGTGGCTCCTCTTTGTAACGGTGGTATTGCCTTATACGAATGAGGGCAGGAAGATGGATTCGGCATACTTGATTATCTTCTCGGCAGATATCACTCATGTCTCCCAGGACACAAGGAGGATTCTCAGAAACAAAACGTAGTTGAGATATACTTATATTTAAAAAATTAATTGCCGTACCTGAATCCATTTTCCCCCCTTTTTATGCAATTTCATATAGGGGATACCGTCTACGATGAATTGTTGTATGTAGTTCTCCGTCCACATCCAATGGGGAAAGTCACAAGACGGAGTAGAAATCAATGTGTTCAACCCAAAGTCTGCATTATATTCAAGGCTGGCGTTTGAGATAGTGCGTTTCGCTCGAAAGGGGAAGCATAGATCGTAAGAGAGGGATACTCAGTAGCGCGTCCAGGAAATCTAAATGAGAGGAATGACATATAAGAAAACGGTAACCCAACCTGCCTTCATGGTAAACAAATTATTTTTAAAAAAAGAATCTAACCTGTAAAATGTATCCCAAGGGAGGGGGAGAGTCGAGGGGGGTTATGGATGGGGGTCATAACCCTCCCCCCCCCCCTTTGGCACGCCAATGGGGATACTAGTACTTATATGACTGTTTTTCACGTACTGTATTCAGTACAGTGGTACGAACAAGAAAATGGGTTTGACTCCTTGCTGAAGATGAATAATTCTAGATAGCGAACTGTTCCTTCCCTATCTTTGATGAAACCATCTTTCCAAAGCCATTTTGAGCTTTGCTCAGCAGCCCCAAAACTTCTTTACTGTTAATTCTATTATTCACTTCTAAGTCTGTTTCGAGGGAGTTCTGCTTCTTGGAACGAACACTGCTGACTCAAGTTTATTCCGCTTCTTTTTTTATACGTTAATCAGCGGCGTTTTACGGAAGGGCCAGGGGAGAGAGGGCACATAGCCCTCCCCCCACCACTTTTCAAGAATAGAAGCCAAAAAAAGAAGACCCCAGAAATATATAACAGTATCTGAGTTTCCTGGACCCCCCCCACGACTCCTCTCCCTACACATGCACACTTTTTCATCCATGCTACGCTTATGATTTTCATCGACAAGGTCTCCGCTCCTTGAACTCAAGCAATAAGAAAACGAAAAGCAAGGCTTCATTCTAAATCCCCCCCCAATTTTTTAATTTGCTTCCCATTTCCTACAAATTACTGAATAAATGCGGATAGGAAATAACTGCCATGAATAGGCGTTCCACGTCTTTTATTTATTTCACTTTTCATTATTATCCCACGTCAACCTATTGGAAGCGGATATGGTGAACCACAAAGAATAGAAACGATGAATGATTAACACATTCTACGTTCATTATAACTAAGACTGTACCGAAGGTCATCTTAGACTTGTGGACAGATGTCCGATTTTCATCTCATAGCCACCAGCCGGTGCCGATTGTCGTCTGAAATTTGAAAAGTTACAGGAAATTGCATTCTAATTTAATAATAACGGGAATATCCATCCCACAAGAATGAACAGTTAGTGAGTTTGAAGAGCTTGCGAACAGACAGCAATGAACATATTCACATTAGAAGGCCCTAACAACCTGAACGCTGTTAGGACTACAGGAGGTTCATTGCAGCTTGCTACATAACTAGCAGAAGGGCAGCATGGGTTGTGTACTTTCACGGCTGATAAAATTTTAAATACCTACGCAAGCATATGCTACTTCCGGTGCGCGGAGTAGCTGGCAGAGCTTTTAAGAAGGCTTCTGTGCCCGAACAATTGCTTAGCAGAGCTAGGGAAAGTTTTCTGGAAAGGAACAGTCTAGATATTGCATTGAACTAAGTTTACATTTGTCAACAAGAACAAGAAGGAAAAATTTTTATTTTCGTTCGCGAGAAGAATGGAAAATAAATATGATGAAGGAAGCCGTAATAAAGAAAAATTTCCATAAATATTGTCCTGCAGAAGATATTGAAAATCTTATGCTAAAGTTCTAACTGTTTTTCAAAGATTCGGAAACGAATTTTAAAATAAAAATGTGAAGCCACATTTACTTCTTTGAGAACGAAGGCCTGCTAAATCAGGATCTGATCAGAGGTGAGTTTACAGTAGTTGTTTAGCGCGCGGTGGCATGCAGCAGCAT